AGCACATTCTTGAAACAGCACAGACTTCTGTTTTTAGACTTTCCCACCAAGCTTTTAAGAGACACGCTCTGCTTTCTTGCAAAATTAACTTTACAGCCCGTCACAGAGCGGTTCTCCAAACACAGAACAATTATAAACTTGATCACAGAGTCGGATAGCGTGGTAGGGAGATGCTTTGCCAGAGTTATGCTTGTTTAAGTAGTAAAAAAGATGAGGTTGGTTATTTATATAGCAAGGGAGTGTAATAAAAATTAGTTTTTTGAGATGCAAAAGGCATTAAAACCCACAAACGTATATCCTATAGCTGGGTCAAAGCTGGCTTTTTAATTTTTCATTTATTTTTATTTTAATTAATTTATAATCTATACTATACTTAGAATATATATTATAAATGTATAATTTTATTTATTATGAATAAATTTGACTTAATTTGACTTTAATTTGAATTTTAAACCAAGTGACAGCACATTCTTGAAACAGCACAGACTTCTGTTTTTAGACTTTCCCACCAAGCTTTTAAGAGACACGCTCTGCTTTCTTGCAAAATTAACTTTACAGCCTGTCACAGAGTGGTTCTCCAAACACAGAGTAATTATAAACTTGATCACAGAGTCAAGGGTTTAAGTTACTTTCTAGACATGAGGAGTGGTTTTTTCCTTCCCTTCCCTTTTTTTTTCCTTCCCTTCCCTTTCTTCCTTTCCTTTTTTTTTTCCTTTCCCCTTTCCTTTCCTTTTTTTTTTCCTTTCCCCTTTCCTTTCCTTTTTTTTTTCCTTTCCCCTTTCCTTTTTCCCCCTCCTCCTTTTGATAGAGAGAGTAACTCTCCTTTCCCCTTTCCTTTCCCCTTTCCTTTTTCTCCTCCTCCTTTTAACAGAGAGAGTAACTCCAGAAGCATCAGAGCATCAAAGCACCAGTGGTCACTCTCTGCGTTTTCCAAGACACAGCCCTACTTGGAGCTGTTCAGAATTTTGATTTCATCTATTTTCTTGGATTTCTAGCAATTTTAAACACCGTATTTCTTAGACCGAAACCCAAGGGTGAAAATCCACAGCTAGGAGAAGTATAAAATATTTCTTGACCTCGTTTATGTGCATTTCTGCCTGGACTGACCCAATGTTTTCAGTGACCTATGCTAAATTGCCTGTAACATTCTCCAGCCGCTTCCAGCTTGACAGCAGAAAGTTCCTTTAAAATATAATTATTGGCAAAAAGCATTTGAAAAATCATTAGAAAGCAGTCCTTGTAACATTTCCTACTCAGCCCAGGAGTATTAGAGCATCAATTTGTTCAGCTGAAATCCAGTTTCTGATCCATACTGACGATTATGCTGATAAAACTCCTTGAGTTCTTATATTGCATGGATTTATGCAATGGGATACCCACAGGGAGCAAGATTAAATTAAATCCAGTGCAGGAAACTTGCATCAATGCTGAAGAATATAAGTATCACATAATCCTACTGATTGTTAAATCAACATCTCACCCTTGAATCACAAAGGCTATAAAAATAGCCAGAGTCATCTTTAAGTCCTTCATTTAATCAGTTGTTCAAGACAATAATACCTGGATTTCTAATAAAGATTAATTGGATGAGGTGGTGGGAAATCAGAAATAAATATTCAATTACAAGTACTTCATAAACCAACTTGATTTTTTTATCTGGTATTACATTCTGCTTTTACATGTGTAAACAATTTAAACAATCTAGATAGCAATAAGCCCAAGAATATTAAGTGTCCTGGGAGAATCCCTCCCTCTGTCCTTCTCCCCTACTTCCCCCAAAACTAACCAGTAAGAAGAGTTTGGTTAGAGATTTATTTTAACTTTTCTCAGCATCTGGAGCTATTGCCACCAGCTCTGTGCTCCCAAGACTGTATTTAGCAAATAACACCCCATCCCTAAACAACAATTTAATATAATTTACTGACTACTTTTCTTGAATCTATAATTACAAGTTTCTAGGCCTAGCATAATCTCTAAATTTCCTCGAGTTTACTTCCTACTCTATCACTCGTGCTGCTATGGAGAGCAGAGAACAGCATGGGAGCCAGGGAAAAGGAAAAGAAAGCAAAAAAAGACCTGAAAAAACCCAGCAAAACCACCTCTAAATCCTGATGCCCAACAGGATCTTCCAGTCTGATATGAAAAACTTCCAGCTACTAAATGTCTACGATCTTCTCAATAATTTTACACCTATTTTCAAGTATTTTGCCCTTTATGGATGTTTTCCCCATAGCTCATTAATAGCAGAGAACGCAGTGTCAAAACCCCTTATTTCAATCAAGACTTATCACTCTGGTAAGAGTCTTTGCTGCCTCTAGGGATGCTCCTTGGACTAATTCTTCAAAGCCCTTTTGCCCTTAATTGCCTTTATGAAGGTGGGTCCTAATTAGATCCTCCATTCAGGGCTGAGACTTGGCCACAGAGGGAGGTGACAATGGGGCAGAATCTGTGGGTGTCCCCTGTGGGAGTGAATCAGAGCTTGTGAGTGCCAATACCCTGATAGGATATATAATTTTAAATAATTTTATTACAGCTCAAAGTAGTACAAATCACTTTACTTTTGAATCTTAACATTGGTAAAGGTAAAAAAATCAAAGCCAATCATTAAAAAGAATGTCAGTGTTGGCTGTTACCACAGAAGCAGGCACCAGCACCCCTCTCTGCACCTTACACTCATCCTTAAGTGAAAAATAAACAAAAAAGCAGGATTTAATGACAGAAGGGGACCAGGAAGGCAGAGAAGAAGAAACTCTGACTCTCTCCTCCTTTCAGAGTTGGCAGAGAGAGGAAGAAACAAAACCAGAAGAAAGTTATTTTTTAGAAATTAAAGTCGAATAGAAAAAAAAATATTTTAATGTCCCAGCTTTGAAATATTCTCTGAATTATTTGACTGAATTATCATTCAATTTCTCTGAGTGACATATTGGGCTCCATTATTTTTACTTTGAATCAGCAGCTTGCAAATTTTGTTTTGTTTTCTCAATAGCTTATGCATAGACAATTTAGAATTTTATTATTAGACCATTAAGGTTTGGAAAAAGAAATCGTAAGTGCAACTCACATGTCTGGGATAAACAGAAAAGAAAGAGAAAATTCTGCCAGTCTTCCCACATAAACCAAAAGTGAATTAAGAATTGCTAATTAAGAACAATTAGTGGGTAAACTAAATAAAAGGAATTATTACTGCAACACAATACTAAGGGAAAAAGAGAATTTAACCACAGAATGCTTATCCTGAGTTCATCACTTCAGGAACGTATGGGGTTACAGAAATGGTCCCGGGGAAGTGGAGGAGGTGAAAGATCCAGCAGCAGTTTGGCTTGTTCAAGCTAAATTATGGATTTTTTAATTTTAGTAAAAATATGCCTGATGTGAATAGTGTAATCTAAGGATTTACCTGTGTGCTTGGAAAGGGGCACTTCATGCTAAAGAGTATGTGCCTGTTCACTTGTTTGTGTACACAAACAGTCTACGATGCTTTAAAAACTGTTTTAAAACTCTTCTTAACAGAGAAAATCTCTTTTCTTCCAAAATAAAGCTGCCAAATAAACTACAACATTCCTTAAATATGGAAGACTTAGAAATAGTTACTTTCTATGTATTTTCTGACACAAATTTGGAGAAAGATTGAAAATTCAGGTATTGGAGGAGCAATCTAAGTAGCTTTCATTTTATGGAACTGCTCCTGCCAAACCTCTCCTGAAATAATTTTCAGAAGCAGAACATTTTCAACATGTGAAATCCAAAAATAACGCAGTAGCTCTACTTCAGTCTGGCTGCTGAGCAATACAATAGCTAACTGCAATTTTGTTGTCCAGAAGAAACTTCTTAAAAGAATAAACCTCCAATATTTAGAAGTAATGTATTTTCTCTATGTCTGTTCTCAGTATCTACAGTGCTAACCCACAAATAAAACCGTACACAAGCTGTAAACACAGATTTTTTAAGTGTTATTTTTCCCTTCCTGGGGTTTTCTGTGCTCCCAGAAGCAAACACAAACCCAGCAATGTTAAGAGCTTGCATTTTTCAGCCCTTAGACCAGAATTCCTGCCTCTGAACCTCAAATAAATCACTACCTGAAGCATCTGCAGTTCCAATTTCCTGCAAAGGGGTCTAAAGCTTTTTCCCATTAAATACAGCAGGTGCCAGGGAATAGAGCTTTTTGTGCACATCGCTACAAAAAACATCATTATTTAGTCAGTAGCACATCCAAGAGAAAAATCAGCCACCAACAGTAATATTTCTTTCTGTAAGAGGTATCAGAGGACACAAGAGGAAATAAATGCCATTTGTTTCCATAAAAGAGCATTCTTTTTATCAACAGTTTGAGAATTGTCACAACAAAATACCGGAGTCACTTTACTTTTTGAAAAGCTTTATAAGGACTTCCAGCTGAGGAATTTCCCTCTTGATTCCTGAACCATATTTTATGTCCTAAAATATTCCCATGAAAATACTTTCTTTTAGTTTTCACACTTCAACTTTTTGGAAGTTTTTTGATTGACACATCAACACGGAAAAGGTACTGCGGGGTCACTCAGGGGAAAATTCATAAATATTATGAATACTTCTGAATTCATATATGAATATAAAAGAGTCCTTTTGAAAAAGCAAGTTGGTGTCCTCAAAATCCACCAGCCCTTCAGTGACCTCCCAACAGAGGGGGAGACTCTGCCCCAACCTCTTCCATCTCTTCTTCTGAGAGGTTTGTCACACTGCAGTACTCATTTTTCCCCAATTTTTTTTCCCCAAAAACTTACTAAATAAACTGAGAAGTGGAAGCTGGCTGATGGATAATGGACCATCAGTTCCTAAAGGAGCTGCTGGTAGCTCCCGAGAGGCCCCACCTTACCTTACTCTCAAGCATGAATTTAGCAAAATAGCAGAAAATAGAATAGCCATTTCCTTCAGGCCCTCACAGAAACTGACTCCAGAAGGTGTATGTGAGTTCTACACACTATCACAGCACCTGAAAAGAAAAAAACCACAGCAAGGCTATCTTCTGGTTTAAAAATGTTTATTTAAAAGAAATGGAGATCTATACCCAGATGGCCAGGAGAACAAAAGAAAAAAATAAAATTCCTCAGTTCCCCCCCCCCAAAACCGTTACTCTGCAATTTACCTTTCCCTTAAGTTTCAGCTTCAACATTGTATTTTAAAACAAAACAAAAAAAGCAAAACCAAAAACAAACCCTGAACTTTCATTTCCTTTTCCTATGCCTTTAGACCTGAGGAAATCAAGTACCTTTCTCTGAAGGGTTGCATGGGACGTGAGAAGAAACCGCAATAAAATTTATTCACAATATACAAGTATAAAAATATCTTGCTTAGGGTTCAGCATTATAATTTAATAACTTTTTGTTGTTTCGTAGGTATCTGGGAAAGGTACAGACACATGTCCTGATCCTGTTACAAGAGGTAGAATCCCAGCATTTGGTACAACATTCCAGGAGAGAGTCAGAGTCACGTTCCTGTTTCCCCTGCAAAAAGCAATAAAGACTATCAGCACAAGTACTTTAATTCATAATTATTAATAAAATTAGGATACAAATTGTTTTCCTGATCCAGAAACAACAGACTTCTTAATTTTACGTAGTTACTTCATGAAGTAACACAGCAACAGCAATAAAAACCACATTTAAAATGCAATGTATGCAAGTAAATCAAGATATCATTAATAATACTTATTTTTTAAAAAAAGAAAAAGATTTACTTACTTGAGACCGTTTCCATCATCAAAGAAGAAGTACTTTGACTTCATGTCTTTTAAGAGCAGCCGAGGGTTATCTCCTCTCAACATGATCTTGTCCCAAAGCACCACCTGGTTTAGAGCCTAAAAACAGAATTGTAACCAAGTCAGCAAGGTACCTGACAAGGTTTTTTCCAGCAACTAGAATTTCACACCATTCTTAATCTAAAAACCCTGTGGAGTTGAAGTACATGCTTGCTATCCATAATTAATTTAACAAAATAATGCTTTGGGGGGGACAACACTTGTATGACCACACATTGCAGTGCAGCACAGAATAAATGGAAACAACAAAAACAGCTCAATAAAACCTAAGAAAGTAATTTAAAATAGTCATAAGCTTTCAAAGATGAAGTATGATGGCTTTTCCTTTTGAATTGTGAAGGTAAGTTGCTTTTAAAGTGGTATTTAGACTTCGTTTCAAATAAAGGGCTTAAAATTGAGCTGTCATGACACCACCCAGGTATTTAACATTTTTTCCAAATTTAATGGAAAAAAAATCTCTATTTGAATTGCAAGCATAACCCCAAGAATTATATGAAATATTCAAATGACATATCCCAAATTCTTAAATATTTGAAATTTTATACTGTTGTTTAAAGTAGTTAGGTGCTCAGTCTTGTTTAGTACCTTAGAGAACAACAGAGAAAAAAAACATCTCAGTATTTGTGAGAACTACTGATTTTTGTGGAAAAAAAAATATTAGAAGATGAAATAAGACAAGGAAGTCCCAGTCTCTGATAAAGAGCCCTAAAAACTATTTTAGTACAAACACGATATCCACCAGCATGTAAAAAATAACTAAGGTACTTTAAAAGGTTATCAAGCATGGAATGGGCTGCCCAGGGAAGTGGTTGAGGCACCATCCCTGGAGGGATTTAAAAGACAGGTTGACATAGTGCTTGGAGACATGGTTTAGTGATGGTTTTTATCAGAGTTAGGTTGATGGTTGGACCAGATAATCTACAAGGTCCCTTCCAACCCAGACAATTCTAGCATTCCATGGTTCTATTCTAATTTTTCCAGAGGCTGTTCCTCACTGCTCCCATCAGATCAGTGAAACATTTTATCAGAGTTAGGTTGATGGTTGGACCACATAATCTACAAGGTCCCTTCCAACCTAGACAATTCTAGCATTCCATGATTCTATTCTAATTTTTCCAGAGGCTGCTCCTCATTACTCCCATCAGATTGATAGCCTTCAGCTATCCAAAGCAAAATACCAGCAGGAACCAATCTGAAGGATGCAGCAAAGCCAATTATTTTGAGAAGCATGATCACATAAATGTACTTATGCGGCTACAGGAACTGGTAGTTACTGGTAGTAACTGGCAAACTATGAACAAAATACCCACCACACCTGGCCAGAACAGAGGCCATTATATCTTGTTTCTAACAGCAGTCAGCAGCAGAACGTTAGGGAAAAGTAAAATAGACAGAGCAAATAGGTGAAAAAACTTCATTTCCAGTCCACTCTTGCAATTTAACAAGATGATGTTACTTTTCTCCTGCTCTGCTGGGCACCAAGTTGGGTTTCATGAGGGTGAACTTCCCACCCTGCAGAAAACTGGCAAGAAAATAACCACCACGAAGGCCAGGGAAGAGAGCCCAAGGTAGTAGGAACCGCTGGTGCCTTAGCTCTTCCCAGCAGAGCTTCAGAACGTTAAAAATAGCCGCGGTACAGAAGGCGCGATTGCTGCGACTTTATTTGTGATACTTACATTGTTTTTCGTTGAATATTCTGCAGACAAATATAGAAACAATTGTTTAACGTTCCAGTCAAATATACTCTGCAGATGTATGCGAGTTAAGAAAAATACCATCTTTTATTTTCATAACCTTGCTTTGTTTTTACTAGATCTAAATAGATTATGATAATTACAGTGCGCTCTTACCTTTCAACACACCTCACCTATAAATCAAAGCACTTCCAAGACTCCCAACATGTATTTTAATCATACTAAAGCTACAGGTTTTTGGGTTGTTTCTAGTATTTATGAGATCTAACAGCTATTTCCTCCAATGATTTAAGAGTTCTATATTTGACACGGCAGGGTAGCAACCATAAGCTGTTGCTAGACAATCCACTGAAAAATCTTAAATATAAAAGGTGAGACAGAATTCTTCAGGAAGTATCTTCAAAGCTATTATTTATACTACCAAAGAATCCTGGTAGCCAACTGTGGATTGAGATACAACAGCATTAAAAAATATATAAATACAAAAATTAGTGGAGGGTAGAGAGTTCAAAGAGCTTGTAATAGACATGCTAGAGAAGTTCACATTTCACACTGGAAGGGACACCAGGAATTAGGGATTTAGTTACCTACTTACTGCAAAGTCAGCTTATTAGACTGGAACAAAACTCTGCTCAGATTTTTGATTAACAGTAAAGAACTGAAGACTGTCATTTGAGACTGCCCATATAATAAAGGTGATATTCTGAATACTCATCCATTGATTTAGCAATAAAATGTACTGTGTATGACTGCTAGGGAAAGACCTTTTAACTCTCAATAAAGATTAGTTGTAAACTTTTATTTCCCAATCCTCTTTTTCTATTGTATTTACCACCACCTCAAAGAATAATTAAACAGATTCCCCAACCAGCCTCAAAATCTGTTCTATCTTGTTCCACTCATCTCGAGATTGAATTGTGGTTTTAAGCCACTAATACAAAAGGCAAGAAAGGAAAGAATTAAATACTTAATTGATGTTGCTGCAAGAATACCTGCAGCTATTTCACTTGAAGATTTTTCATCATCTAACTCCAAACAACAAACAAGAGTCTGAAAATCTCCTTTGTAGGATTTCTTCAAACTTGCTGAAGTTAGCCACAAATTAAGTACGCTAAAAGGAGTTTGTGCAAACTGTCTCCTCCCCTTTCCTTTCCCTGGTTTCTTTTTCTAACTGTCATTTCCTAGAACTAACCGTTAGTTAAGAGAACCCCCATCTCTTTACAAATTTTGTCAAAAAAAGAAAACCTACCAGAAAGTTGTATTTTACAGCTCTACACACTGCACAGTTTATTCATGACAGGCATGAGAGATTAAATCAGAGGGTTTTTTTTTAAAAAAAAAGTTAAACTACTGGTACTATTAAGTCATTAAAACATGGAATCTTTATGTCCACATACTGCAGGCTAATTCCTACATAAGAACACTTCTTTCAGAGATCCTGCCCTGCCTCGCTCTGCCTCCCCCTGTATACACCACATACAATGCATCTATTTTAGAATTTTAGTCTCTGGTTTTAATATGTATTTCAGAGGTAAAACTCTGACTTCGGAGTTCACCTCTCCTGATAGCAGCTGATAAAAAAAAAAGCCCTTTTATTCCTGTGCAATACACACCTGCAAAAATCCAATTAACTTGTTTTATCCAGTGTTCATGATTTGTATTTTGTTTGGTTTGCTTACACTACGTAGTATTCTCCAGAGCAGGGGAACCAAAACACAGGGGTAATCAATGTCTTGCTTTATACAGTGACAAAAACCAGCTGACTGGGAAAAACCCCAGGACTCTCAGCCCAGCTGCAAAGCAGGGCTTAGAGTAATCACCTGAGGTAAAGCATGATGCCTCAGATTTGGTACCAACTTCTGCAGAAAAACAATGATTTTTTTTTTTAATATTTATTAATCTAAATCTTAAGAACGACTCTCTTCTAGTGTCAAAAACCCTACCAAAACCAAACAAACACACACAACCCTCCTTCCCCAATAAAAGCCAAACAACAGAGAAACAGAGAAATACAAAAGAGAAGTTGCAAAAAAGGTAACGGTAATAAGAGGCCAAAAACTAATGTGATAGATTTTGTAGTGCCTCATATGCTTCCCAATATATTTCATACTATTCAGTGTCAAAGATTTGATAATTTAACATCTAAGGAAGTGAAGTATTACAATGCCTTTTTATTTTTAAAGGAAGACAGGTGCTTGCATGCAAGTATTATGTGGCTAGAACTTTGTAAGTTTCACAACAAAATGAGTTTGGAAAGTGCCTCAGAATTGCTAGATTCAGTACGACAGTCAAAATAGTATGTTATATAAATCCTATAATTAATTAACACCCCAAACCACCAATACTAACGTCACCAAATGATAATACTGTCCAGATGTTAAACTGCATTTCCTGTTATTAGATACAGTGTGCTTTGCTACAGAGCCTGGTTTTAAAAACAGGCATTAAAAACAGGGAGAAAACAACTTGTCCTGCATCAGCTACTACACACAGATCAGCTATTCCAAGTTCTACTTCCCTGCCCTACCCATGGAAAATACTTTCCACTGCTATAAATTTATATTTTAAGACAAATTGTTAGTTTTCCCTCAAGTCCTGAATATCTGAAGATTGTAAGGTAACAAAAACAGATGTCAAGATGTTCTCATTTCACAGCATCCGCAGACCAGTTTTCCATTAAGGATATCTGCAGTGATGTCAAACGTGACGAATCCCAGGTCACTTCTTTCTCTAGGTCCAGTGAAGTCTTCTACATTTTTTCTAAGACAAAAGAAAACACAAGATTATCCTCTCTCATTATTTCTCTTCCACGCCTTACAGCAATTATTATTTTTATTACTTATTTCCCTTATCCATTTTCTGTACTTTGTTTCAAATGCTTTTGGCTAAAACCTAATAAACACTACAAAATAAAATCTGCCTTCCAGAAATTACAGCACCCCAGTTTTGAATGACAGGCCTTGCCACCACAGTACTCTCAGTTATAAAAATAGCCTATAGACTTTTTCCTGTTAAAAAAATAGTATCTGTATTTATCTATACCTAAACTGCACCACGTCTCATTTTAATAAAACATGTGTTAGCCACCCCCAAAATATATAAAGCCGATTGGAATACCGGCAGCATAACTGTCTGCAGGCAACCATTTTCCATATTATTTCTCAACTTTCCATAAATAAAAGCCTCTAGTGCTCAGTCTCACACAAGACACTCCATCCATTCTGGTAAAAAAGAGTTTGTACTTGTAGTTCACACAACTTACACAAGATTTCTCCCTGGAATGTCTGTAAGTATCAGTAAAAAGAAAATGCGTATTTTCTTCTGCATTATGGAAAAATCATGGTGTTTTAGAAGCCTTTATTACAAACCCATGTTTAGAGGATATATCTGACATGAAACCACATTAGAAAAAGGACTGGAAAAATAAGAGAGAAAACAGATATTTTCACATGTATTCACAAACCTCATCAATTGACCAAACTTGCCCTCTACAAAGAACAATAGCATAAGCAGGTTGAGGATCAGCTATGAACCTTAATTCCTCATGTAACAATGATTTGATGAATCAAAGTTTAGAAGAAGAAGTTTATTAATTTCTTACTTAAATTTATCCCACACTTTTGGAGACATTAAGAAAAACACCACCAAAACGTCCCAATTTAAAGCCTTGCTATGTATTTCCATCCCTTTGCAAAAAGCAACATATTTTTAAGTGGTAAAACCTATCAAGCACTTAATTCCTCAATCATTGTCAATCTGGTGAAGAAATTAGATGTGCAGAACTTCTGAGAAGTTCAAGAAAAGCAGCTAAGGTATAACACCTCTTGTTAATACCAGATCTCTGCATCATGGAAGGGACCAACACAACAGTACAAATTTAATCCAAACTACAATCAGAGAATCTCAGGCTGGAAGGGACATCAAAGATCAGCTGGCCCAGCCTTTCTTGGCAAAAGCCAATCTGGACAAAAAGGCCCAGCACCCGGTCTGGCTAAATCCTAAGTGTCCAAGGTTGGGGATTTCATCACCTCCCTGGGGAAATTATTCCAATGGCTGATCGCTCTGTGTGATACCTCCCTCGGGAAATTATTCCAATGGCTGATCGCTCTCTGCATGAAAAATTCTACCCCTGTGTACAATCAGAATCTCCCCCAGAGTAACTTGTACCCACCACCCCTCATCCTTTCCATGAGGTTCCTTGTAAAAAGTCTCCATCTCCTTCATAGGCACCCTTCAGGCATTAGTATGCTTTCTACCCCTGTGTACAATCAGAATCTCCCCCAGAGTAACTTGTACCCACCACCCCGAATGGTTTGGGTTGGAAGGGACCTTTAAAGGCCATCTAGTCCAACCCCTCCCACAAAGAGCAGGGACACCTCCCACCAGCCCAGGTTGCTCCAAGCCCCCTCCAACCTGGCCTTGAACCCCTCCAGGGATGGGGCAGCCACAGCTTCTCTGGGCAACCTGGGCCAGGCTCTCACCACCCTCACACCAAACAAGTTCCTCCCTCAAAGACCTCATCTCAATCTCCCCTCTTTCAGTGTCAGACCTTCCCCTTTCTCCCTAGGGCTCCCCTCCCTGATCCAGAGCCCTCCCCATCTCTCCTGGAGGCCCCTGAGGGACTGGAAGGGGCTCTAAGGTCTCCCCGGAGCCTTCTCTTCTCCAGGCTGAACCCCCCCAACTCTCTCAGCCTGTCCTCAAAGCAGAGGGTCTCCAGCCCTCCCAGCATCTCTGTGGCCTCCTCTGGACCCACTACAACAACATCATATACATCAAGCTCACCAGAACACCCAAAAACATGCTTTTACACTTGTTTTATGCTGTTTGCAATCCTCAATTGAGGCTAAACACAGAGTTTATATTTCCAGAGATATTAAACAGTTACAAAAGCTGATGGCACTCTTTATTTGCATTCACATCCCTTTTCATATAATCATATTCTTTGTAGGAGAACTTTAAGATCATCAAGTCGAACCACTAACTACACACTGCCAAACCCACCACTAACCCACGTCCCTCAGCACCACGTCTGCCCGGCTTTTAAACACCTCCAGGGATGGCGACTCCACCACTGCCCTGGGCAGCCTCTTCCAAGGCTTGACAACCCTTTGGGGGAAGAAATTGTTCCCAATATCCATCCTAAACCTCCCCTGGTGCAACTTGAGGCCATTTCCTCTTTATCCCATCACCTGTTCCTTGGAAGAGACCGACCCCCCCTGGCTACCCCCTCCTTTCAGGGAGTTGGAGAGAGCGAGAAGGTCTCCCCTCAGCCTCCTCTTCTCCAGGCTGAACACCCCCAGCTCCCTCAGCCGCTCCTCACAGGACCTGTTCTCCAGACCCCTCACCAGCTCTGCTGCCCTTCTCCGGACCCGCTCCAGCCCCTCAGTGTCCTTCCTGCCCTGAGGGGGCCCCGCTCCTGTCACACCCCATGTGCTGCTCCAAAGCTCCATGAGCCGTTTTTATCTCGCCAACTCGACCAAAACACCGACTAAATTAAAAAAACCCATTATTGGGTTAAAACAGCTCATTTTCCTATCAGCCCCCCCACCACTGAGGGGCCAGAAGCAGCCGGCGAAGGCCCACGGCGGGCGGGGCCGGCCCTGCTCCCTCCCGGCCGGGCCCTGAGGCGGAGGCCGTCGTGGGGCTCCCGCATTGGCCCCGGCGGGGAGCGGCCGGGAGGCGGGGACCGCCCAGGCCCCGGCCGACGGCAAGAGCGGCGGCGGGGACCTTCCCGGGCCCCCTCCTCCCTCCATCCATCCATCCATCCACCCACCCCTCCGTCCCGCCCGCACTCACAGCGTGACCCGAGAGACGGCGATGCGGACGGGCACGCTCCGCTCCTTGAAGGCGGTGGTGATGAAGCAGCCGAAGGTGAGGGCCGCCATCACGCTCAGGCAGAAGGCGAAGAGGGAGTTGGCCCGGGACAGCACCGTGTTCATCTCCCCGCTGGGCCCGGCCGCTGCTCGCAGGGGATGGAAGGGATCGGGGCGGGGTGAGGGGGGAACGGGACGGACCGGGGCGGCTCCAGCGGGGACGCGGCGGAAAGCGGGCGGCGGCGGCAGCGGCTGCACTGGGGCCGCGGAGGAAGGGGCGTGGCCCCGCCCCGCCTGGGCGTGGCTTCAGCAGGGACACGCCCTTTGGCTCTGCGCGCGCGCCGGGGAGGCGGCCCCGCCCGCTCCCCTCAGCCACAACATGGCGGCCGGGGGGGAGCTTCCCTCAGGGACTGGTGCGGCCGTGGGGATGTGCCCGCTGCTCGCCCGCCGCCGTTGGCCTTCAGAGCAGCGTGTGTCTATCCACAGAGAGCGGCACCCGGGACTGGGGGTGCTGTTCAGGGCTCTCACCGTTAATGCTGACAATATAGGTGCTTGTTCTGATTTCTTTATTGGTTTGGGTTGGAAGGGGCCATAAAGCCCCCCCAGTGCCACCCCCTGCCCTGGGCAGGGACACCTCCCACCACACCAGGTTGCTCCAAGCCCCCTCCAACCTGGCCTTGAACCCCTCCAGGGATGGGGCAGCCACAGCTTCTCTGGGCAACCTGGGCCAGGCTCTCACCACCCTCACACCAAACAAGTTCCTCCCTCAAAGACCTCATCTCAATCTCCCCTCTTTCAGTGTCAGACCTTCCCCTTTCTCCCTATGGCTCCCCTCCCTGATCAAGAGTCCCTCCCCATCTCTCCTGGAGCGCCTTGAGGGACTGGAAGGGGCTGGAAGGTCTCCCTGGAGCCTTTTCTTCTCCCAACTAAACCCCCCAACTCTCTCAGCCCGTCCTCCCAGCAGAGGGGCTCCAGCCCTCCCAGCATCTCCGTGGACTCCTCTGGCCCCGCTCCAACTGGGTCCCCGCTCCTCATCCTCTTCCTCATCCCAGCTCGGTCCCCTTCCTGCTCCATGGATCTGCAGCATCACTGTTCTGAGAACCAGGGGGGAGAGACAGCCTGTATAATGGCTTCCCCCCACTCCCCATATTTCCCTGCATTAAATACACCAGGGCTTATCAACGTGGATTTCTCAGGACGGACAAGAGGTGTCAGCAGTGGTTCAGTTATATTTATCGTCCCAGCCTTAAGGTTCCAGGGCCTCCTGGTGACTGACAGGACAGGGAGAAGAAGGGGTGGGCTCTCAGGCCTTCCTGAAATACCCATGTTCTGGAATGGTTTGCTGTTTCTGTCCCCACCACACGCACCCTGTAACCGACAGTCAGGTCTGTGATTCATGGAAGAAAAATCTTTGCAGATTAAGATAGGGAATGGAAGAGGAAAAAGATGCTGATGCTCTGTGTTTCCACCAACCCTAAGTACCTGTAGCACATCCCTTTTAGCACCAAATTCCTTGCAGTTGGGAACCTCTGTTTTCTACTGAACTGTTAATTTCTGTGTGTCTGTGCATTTGCCATAATGAAATCAGCCACAGATTTAATTTCTTCTCCAAGAGGAGAGGCTCTTTAGCAATCTTCTGATGATAAACTCATTCCCAGTTTACATTCGGTAATCCTTGGCCTTCCTGATACTCCAGAAGAATTCCAGAAACACAGAGAGTTTCCTCTGTGAAGGCTTTTGGTGGGTTTGTTATTATTTTATGTTTTGATTTGCTATTCAAAACATTGATTGTTGTCAGGTAAAGTTTTTTGATTTATGGTCTGGAACATAAATATCTGAAACCTTGGGCAATGGTTATTGAAAACTAGGTACTTTCCCCAAAATATTGGAAGGGAGAGGCTCTTTAGCAATCTTCTGATGATACTCATTGCCAGTTTACATTTGGTAATCCTTGGCCTTCCTGATACTCCAGAAGAATTCCAGAAACACAGAGAGTTTCCTCTGTGAAGGCTTTTGGTGGGTTTGTTATTATTTTATGTTTTGATTTGCAATTCAAAACATTGATTGTTGTCAGGTAAAGTTTTTTGATTTATGGTCTGGAACATAAATATCTGAAACCTTGGGCAATGGTTATTGAAAACTAGGTACTTTTCCCCAAAACACTTAGAAACAACAAGGAAACTTTTACTGCAAACTGGGGATCCTGAATGTTTCAGAAGTTGTGAAATCTCTGCTGTAATAAAAAAAAAATAGTTCCGAATGTGAACGCTGTTCTTATCTTGTGTCTACAAACAAAAGACTCAAATTGCCTTTGCTCTTGCTTTTAGTTCTTGCAGTTGCTGTTTAGAGTTTTTAATTAAACAGCTCTGCTGTTGGGGAAAACTTCAATAGCTATGGCAGAACTTGCAGAGTAAAGCAATGCCATTTCCAAAGCAGCAGTTAAGTACCTGAAGAAGACCAAAATCAACAGGTTTAGCCAAATTAGCATGTTTTTAAGACAGATTAATAAATATGTCTGTTGCTTGTGTCACAGTTAAGTACCTGAAGAAGACCAAAATCAAAAGGTTTAGCCAAATTAGCATGTGTTTTTAAGACAGATGAATAAATATGTCTGTTGCTTGTGTCGTTTTGGATTTATTTTAGTAGAATCCTTAAATAAATGTCACTTAAAAGTGCAATATGCAGGGGAAGACAGATGGTGTAATTTATTCAAGGACTGGTCTGTTACTGTTTCAGAACAAATAAACCTTCTGTAGGTTTCTAATGACTGAAATCTTGCAAAATCCAAAGAGGAGAAAACATTTGAAACAAAGAAGGCAACTGTGGTATTATTCACAATAGCTGTCTGCTGGCAAGGTCCAAATTCTTCTGTGAAAAATATGAAATCTGGTGGGTTTTTTTTTTTAAAGGATAGCGGCATAATATTAATGTTGGAAGTCACTGCTAAATAAGTTGTGTTAGCCTCAATGGATCCCAAATTTTTCATTACGAACTAATTGAACAAAATGCAGAGATGGGACTGGGAGCAGGTCTGAAATGCAGAATTCTCCCTTACTCTGTTCTTCCCAGAATTATCCTACTTTGGAACTCTGTTCTTACGCACTCTTTGATCTATTAATCATGTGTTGGTTGTTTTTGTTTTAATAGTGTTGGTGCTTCAGCAGGATTGATCCCAGTCAGCAGCTGATGATCAGAGCAGTCTTCTGAGAGAGAAGGGCTCGCTTTCTTTGGTTGAGATCTTTCTACCCTGATGTTCAGGTTAGTGAGTGATTCCTTTAATCGTCTGTAAACAAAACAGCAAGTGTTGACACTGCCTGTCCACAGAGATTGCTGCGAGGCCTTTGTCTTTTCCACTCAAGTCAGTTTGGCTCTAACGAGGTACACACAGCTAGAACAGATTGGGGTCTGTGGCTGGTGAATCCCAGGTGAAGGGGAGCTGGTAATTTCAGCCCAGGTGGTACCACCTTCGGCCTTCTTGGGGGTTAAGTTTCTAATTAATTTTACAGGTGAAAGTTTAGGTGCCCTGTGGAATCTTTGGCACCTGGCCAGTTAGATGAGGACTGTATAGATAACCTTTTTTCATCTAGGGTCGTGTATATACTTCTAAATATCCCCATATATGTCTAAATCCTTTATTGAGTTTGTCTTTTATTAATTATTGAAATTTTAACTCTTTAAGAGGCAGTAGCAACACACAGCCTCCTGGGCAGATGAAGATTAAAATAAATGTGGTCATGAGCAACTAGGGGAATTTTTGTCTCTATTGCAACAGCCCCCTTTCAGTTAGCACCTCTTCTGGGTGGGCTGGTTTTACAATTGGAGTGGGAAGGCTGTGGCTGAGAGAAGTCCTTCTGGGCTGCACTGAAGGGGTTTTGTTTTTAACCTTCTTCTTACCTCCATTTTTCCGCTTTGGATCTACAAAGTGCTGAGAATAAGAAGGTAAGCAAACAGAAATTTTCACTTGCCTCTCTATTCTTATTGCAAGAAAGCCTTGGGGAACTTTACATTTCTGATTTCAGAATGAACTTGATATAAGATTGTCTCCTCTAGTGGCATATGAATGTTTCATTGGAGATGGGACCAAATATTTATGGCTCCAAAACAAACTCCAAGTATGTTTTGGAGCCTAACAGAGTTCATTTTTGGCTCCTGGCAGATTTGCTTTGAGGACCCTTCCAACCCAAACCATTCTGTGATTCCGTGATTCAGCTGGAGCTTTCAGGCTTTGTTGTGCTTTGCATTCTGTGGCCAGAAGCCTGTGTGCTACGGATCCATCTCTCTCTAGTTCTGCCTCATTCCCTAAGCCAGTTGTGAGTTCTTCATCACAAAGTATTTTTATGTCTCTTGTAAAAGCACCAGGCAGGGACTGTCGTGCCTTGGCTTGCGGAAAAAAAATGGTTTGGTAGCTCTGTCACGATGAGATCACTTAACTGATCCTGGCTTTAGTGGATGGAAAAAACCTTTCTGATACAAACACTAGCCATCAGAGTCAGCATACAGTGACATTCTTGCAGAATAATCTTTTATTTCTCATCCCTATCAAGCCATGAAATTGACTTAATAATTTCCTTTTATTTCCATTCACAGGCAGCAGAATATACATAGAAATGAAACAAATGAAACTGCTTTTACTTAGTCTAGAAGAAAACCTGGCAAAAGTTTGAAGAAAGTGGGTATAAAGTTAAAGGAAACAGATGGTTTCACTGTTTTTAGGAACAGTTTGTAATGAAAAAAAGAAATCACTTAAACAATTAAAGGAAAATCAAAAGACAGACTACAATGTAGAATAAAATAAATTCAAATTGGTGAAGGAAAACGCAGCTCAGAGACACTTTAGAGAAATCTTTTCACTTGTCAATAATTGACAATCGTCTCATCCTGATGACGTAATTTAAAGGTCTTACACATAAATAAATAAAAAACTGATGTAGATCCAAAATAGTTTCAAAAGTCCAGGTAGTATTAATTCAAACCTCAATCTGCAGTCTCTTAAGCCATCAAAAGTTACAGCTAAATATCCTGAACAGGTGGCTTCTGTGCATTTTGACATTGCTGTTCCCTCATAGTTTGCTACTAGTTTTAACAGGAGGTTTCTGTCTCTGCAGCAGAATGGGTGGCGTTTTGTGTGTCAAGTCCAAAAGGTTTGTTTAAACTCATCCAACAGTTTAAATTGCCAGATTTTGAAGTGAGGTGGCTGACATACACACACACATTCCTTCCTCTTGATTTCCAGGAAGGGGGGAGGAGGGGCAGGAACCTTCCGCTGAGGAATGGAATGGGCAGCTGGAGGTGGGAGCTTTTTAAACTCCTTTGCGGGGTGGGGGGCAAGATCTGCTCGGGTTTGTCTGTCAGCAGGGGGTGTGTGCCTGCTCTCTGACACGTTTCTGGGTTCAGTCATGTCTCCAAGTACACACATGACTTGACTTTGGAATCTTCTATCATACCCTTACTAATTGGGCTGCGTTAGGTATCCCGCGAGGACCGCAGCAAATGTGGTAGGACCAACTTGCCAGGTTTCCTGGCAGGACTCAGATTGGATTTACTTGCAAGTAAATTCAGTAATTTACTTCAGCAGTTTTACCTGCTTCCCTTCTGCACGGAACTTTACCGTCAGCAATTAGCTGGACTCGTTAAGCAGATGGAGCATAGTGATATGATGTTGCTGAGCGCAGGGATTGTTTGATGCTGGATGTGTAGTTGAAGTGGAATCTATCACCATCGTGAGAAGCAGCTCTCGGGTGGGTGTGCAACAAAGTGATACAGCTTTAAAATTTCTCCCTATTCTTCCCATGAACCGAGAAAGTTACAAAACTGGAATTCCGTAATTGCTTGAATATCTTTAATTTGTATGTTTTTAAACATGTGTGCTATAGAGAATGTCTGTTACATCTAGGGATACTGGTTGGTATTTAAATCCCTGACCAGTAATTCCATCCCCAGGAAATCCTGATACACAAGTCAGTATGTTAGCACTATTTTCTAAGGTTGGAGTAATATTTTCAACAGGCAGGAAAGACAAAACACCTGAATAAAACCAATTTAACTTCCTTAAAAGTTCACAGTAGAATAAGCAAACTTTCCATGATGTTACAAATGAAAGGTCGAGTCATTCATGTGCCAGAAGAACGTGGCTTGTATAGAACCTAAACTGTGCCAGAGCGCTGATTTTAATGCAGTGGGGGAAAAAAATCAAACTTTGGGTATCAGTTATAACTTCCCACTGCATTGTTTGTGTAGATTCTGGATTGACATGTCCTGAAAATTCAGAATTCATAGAAAATTCAGAACACTTAAATGCCAGTTTTTCACCCGCTTCCCATGGCATCACATTGACTGTCAGATCCTTTATTTATTTATTGATGCTTCAACTTTCTGATTTCTGTTACAGTGTTGTCTGTTAGGATGGACTTGGTTGTTTGTGCAGTTGGGAGAGCTTCCAGTTAGGCTGGCACTTACAGAGCTTTAAAAAAGAAGATCTATTATTAGGAGAGTAACTTTGTCAGCTTCTCCTGAGCATGTGTGAACTCAAATTCTCAAAACTCATGATTTCTTTCAGTTTTGTATAGTTTGTAGCTAAGGAGGGAAATTTTTGAGAGGACAAAAGGCAAGTTTTGATACAGGAATAACACTCCTCGCCAATTTTTGTGTTGTTTCTAGAAGCAGAAGTTTTACAAATCAATGAGGGTTTTTGAAAGATCACTTACAAAAGATTCCATGCATGCACAGCCTGATTTTTGGAAAAGTTTTTGTTATTTTTATTGACTCTCTACAGAAAAATTTAGCCTGAATAAGGCAACCTACCAACTGAGAAATTTCTTTTTGGTGCTTTATCTGCTGCAGTTGTAAGAAGCAGGAAACCCAATTGTAAGGGGAAGATTAAGCGAGCGCGGCTGTTAACTCCAGCTGTTATTTATAGTAATTGCTATTTGGATTTTCACCTCTACAAAGAAAGACTATTTTGTTAATTAACAAACCGTGGGAGAAGTCCAGATGAGAAAGCACAGCTACTGGATGACACAGAGACAGGGAAAAATAGGTGAAGCACTATGAAGAAGAAAAATGTTTTCCATGAGATAATTATGATTTTTCCTTATTCTGCACGGTAAATATGCAAAACAGGTACTTAAGATGGCCGGGAAGTTCTGTGGACTGATTGAGTTAAGCTTAATAATACTAGTAGAAATATGGAAGAAATTCCAATACTGGATACGTTACTAAGGAAAATACCATTTCTATTAATGATTGAAACGGAAATTGGCAGTGGTGGCTCAGAACATAATGCCCATTTATCCTTATGGAAAACATGACACCTCAATTCAGTGTCAGATAACAATGTGCCAAATATAAAAAGGGATTTTCAGTTGGCATTTTAAGTACTCACTCCTGCTTCTAACTATGGTATGAGGAGAGCAGTTCCTATTCTGGCTGGATGAGAAAATGTCTATAAATGAAATTTAGGAGAAAATGCGTGTATTTTTTTTTTTTCACAGAGTAATATAACTTACAGTGTAAACTGCTTTTTAATTGCCTTTTCCAGTTACTGGTCTGACTTTTGTGTGGATTAATCTTTTTTTCAAAGAAAAAGACTGAAATCTGTTTCTCTCCAGATAAGCACATTTCAGTTTCTCTCTGTTAAAAATCTCGATATTTATTTCCAAGCTCATTTCCTTTTATCATCGTCTTTTTCTTCATTTCTATAGGTTTACTTGAACGTAGTTTCCATAAAACATGATAGTTTTTTACTCTAATACATTACTCCTGGAACCAGATGAGAAGAGGTGCTTTATTTTGCCACTTTCCTTTCAGAGATGTGATTTTGGGTGATATCCATGGTGTCTGCTGTGTTGTTCGCTGAAGTTGGGGGGGCCGGTGGCAGCGGGGACATTTGGTTCATACCCTCTGGTCCTGATGGACACTTGCCAGTGTTCTAAAATGCTTTTTCTCCGACCACCAAATGAGAGAATCCAGGGCAGAATACAAAGGGTTAAGATCACTATGGGTAGAGTATTTTAAAACTACAATCAAAGACACTATTTTTTTTTTTTATTTTAAAAGATATATGAAAGTTTAGAAGAGGACCCTAAGCTGCTGGGGTTCTTTATTTTAGGGTTATAACTTAGGAATCGAGTTCTGTCCTGCAGCTCCTCCATTTGTATCGTGTTGTGACACCACTATTCACTCAGCAATTGCTCACACTAATAGGAACAGTTTGTGCTGATAACTGTGAGTAATCTCTTTATGGCATATAAGCAAATTCATTCTTCAAAACTCTGAGGAATTTAGATTCCCCTTTCTAAAACTGGCCAAGAAATAAAGCCGGTCGTGTCATAGGTTTAAAATAATCCGGTGCAGCACAATGAAATGTGTATCACAAGCATTATAAATTTTCCATGTTGTATATTTACCATTGCATTTATTTAATTTTAATTTGATTTTAATTTAATTTTAGATTATTTGAGATATTATTTATAAAATATCTAGGAGTTTGATTTTTATTGTCTGCACTGAGTACTGTTTTTTGTATAATGCTATAAGCCATGAACACAAGATATTTGCATTCAGCCTGAACAAAACAATAAGAGACTGTCAAAGCTGAGATATATTAAAGCTCTGTTTTTATATTAATGTGTATTTCAGGTTTTTACTGATGTGGTTCTAGTTTTGCAAGGGGAAAAAAAAAAGTAGTCTAACATAAAATAAAGCAGCACAAAAAAAGGAATTTTACTGAAGCAGGGGAACTTAGTTTAGCAGAAACTGACTCCCTGAGTTACCTGGTTTAGTACATGAAATTGTAGTTCTTAGTACTAATTCTTTTGACAGTGTATTTTTAGCCATGTGTTAATAGGGTAAATACACGAATTAGAAATGCACAATTTGGAACGAAACAGACCTTCGAAGTGGAACAAGTAAAATCCAGGGTCTTGGAACCTGTGGCTGTTCTATTCCGTCCCACTGGAATAGCACCAGGAGCGGTAGTGAACTCAATACTATGTACAGTATAAATAATCCCCATATTTTGAGCAGCAAGCATCATGACCAGCTGATATTTTCTTTCCCCCAGGACCAGTTGTTCCCGGGAGTGCGTGGCCGGAGCCATATGATCTTATCAACACATTCGGGAGCCCTACCCAAACACCGGGAGAGGTTTCGCTGCAGCGATGACTGTCATAGAAGAGAGTCGCCCTTTCGCCCAGCAGCTCTCCAATGTCTACTTTACCATACTTTCCCTTTTCTGCTTTAAACTCTTCGTGAAGATCAGCCTCGCCATCCTCAGCCACTTCTACATCGTGAAAGGAAACCGTAAGGAGGCAGCGAGGATAGCGGCTGAATTTTACGGAGTTCCTCAAGGACAAGGTAGATTTGTATTTGTTATCTTACCACTACTTTTGGGGGAGTTTGTTCTCTTTT